CCCTACTGGGGATGTGCCCGCAACCAAGGTACATGCCCTTGACCGGAATCGAACCTGGGACCCTTCAGTCCGCAGGCCGACGCTCTATCCACTGAGCCAAACCGGTTAGGGCTGTGCTGTGAGATTCTTTCCTCTTCCCCATGTGGGAGTCTGTACTTGTTCTTCAATAAATTTCCACCTTTGCTATAAAAAAAATGTAGTTCAATCTTAGCACCTGAGGAGGTGAGGAGTGGGGGTGTCTCAGGAGAAAGGACCCCTGAGCTGCCACGGAAGGGTGGGTGGTGTGGTGATGGGCAGGAGCAGGAAGGGGGCATCGCTGGTGCCCTGTGGAGGGATGGTCTGGGCAAAGTTGTGGACTATGAGATACTGATGGAGGAGTAGCTGGAGGTGGGCAGAGACCAGACTATAAAACATTTTTAAATTGTTTTTATTGATTGAGAGAGAGAGAGAGAGAGAGAGAGAGAGAGAGATTTGTTGCTTCTACTTATTTATGCATTCATTGGTTGCTTCTTGTATGTGCTCTGACCAAAGATCAAACCTGCAACCTTGGTGTATCAGTACAACACTCGAACCAACTAAGCTACTTGGCCAGGGCAGACTGTATTTTTTAAATATATTTTTATTGATTTCAGAGAGGAAGGGAGAGGGAGAGAGAGATAGAAACATCAATGATGAGAGAATCATTGATTGGCTGCCTCCTGCACACCCCACACTGGGGATTGAGCCCCCAACCCCCTGCCCTGACCGGAAATTGAACTGTGACCTCCCGGTTCATAGGTCAACGCTCAACCACTGAGCCACCAGCTGGGCTGTAAGGCATTTTTAAATGTCAGGCCAAGGAGTTAAGCTTTACTCTTTGGAACATGGAGTGACTAATAGAGGTGGTGTGAGGGGAAGGACTAGAAGGCCTCGGCAGGGGCCCAGGTGAAAGACCTGGAGAGGGGGAGGGGAATTTTTAGTTTCCTGGAGCCTGACGAGTTTATGCCAGGTAAGGTCAGGAGGACAGTGAGCTTCCTTTTTGGTCAGAAGATAGCAGGACAGAAAATAGTGGTTGATAAGGCTTTATGGGTTACAGCAAGGAGGGGGATTCAGCCTGCAAGACACTCTCTGCCCCAAAGGGCTTCCCCAACGTCAATGTTTTGAAATCTACAAAACCTATCTTATCTGCAGGTTGACATTTTGCAACGTTGAACTGATCCCATAATCATGTGATGTCATAAGAGGTGCCTTGAATCTCCCCTGCAGGTAACCCACGCCTGGAGGTGAGTCCCAAACCTGTTGCCAGAGTTGGTCAAGACCCTTCTTTCTCCTGTGCTTCGAGTGTGCCTGGCACCCTGTCCATGCACAGCAAACGCAGACGTTTGTAACTGTGGTTTCTATGAAAGCCTCGCTCAGGTCAGACCTTCATTTACTGGTTTGTTCATTCGGCCGCGTATGCCGAGCCCTGCTATGTGCAAGGGGCCAGGCCACGTCTGTGGCTCCGGGCCACAGTGACCTTCCTGTTCTCTGAAATCCTGCTCTAAGGAGCATGCGTGGTACATCCTTGGTTTGCTTCACTGGCAAGTCCTTCCTTCCGGGGGTGAAGGCAGTTGAGGTTCACCAGTGTGTAAGATCCAGACACGCCTCCAGGGAGGAGTGGATTGAGGGTCCTCTTTGTGGGGCGCCTGGAGAGTAAGCCATCGTGTCACCTCTAAATGTGTCACCGTGATGAAAACAGCATCGCTGGTGCGTGTGGCAGCTGGTACCTGTGGGTACTTCATCTGGGCCAGCCACTGAGGTCCAACCTCTGTAAAGACTGAGGAATTTGTCTTTGCAGGGACTATGGGATGTTTCCCAGGTTACACAGACTGTAAACTCGGTTTGAACCCACAACAACTGGGCTCCAAAGCTGAGGCCCTTTAGGTATGAAATAGGATTGCATTTGGCGGCAGGTAACAACCTGAGCACCATGTCCTGGACAGGTGCGGGCTTCGCTGCCTTATTTCTAATGCATAGCACAGGGCCAGGCACATGCTAAATGATGATAAATGAGTACTAATGTGATAGGAATTCAATAAATGTTCAATGAATCCAGGAGCGAATAATTTCCTTATGTAATACTCCCACTAATACCTTGCATCAATGTAGCCAACTTTATTGTTGGTGCTCCCTGGCGTTTCAGGGTGACAGAGAAGTCCCTGTGCTGCTCGACCTGTGAACACATTTTCTGTGGAGGCTGGGACAGGTTTTCATATTCCCATTTTGCAGAGGAGGAAACTGAGGCGTAGGACGTTCAAGTGACTCGTCTGAAGTCCAGAGTAAGGGCATCATTGTGTCAAATTCAAAAGCTCTTCCTCTAAGTAACATGGCGGAAGTGAAGGGACTGGCCTTTTCTCATTAGCATTCTTTCCAAACAGGTGTAGAGACCTTACCAATAGGCCATCCTATTAAATGCCACAGCCAGGAGCTCCCAGCCTGCGCTTCCCCTGTGGGCCTCCGTCCTGCTTTGGAAAGCAGCTGTGAGCCTCGAGTTCCGAGAGCAAGGGGAAAAACGCATTAGGTTCTCTAATATGATAATAACATAAAAGAAATATATGGTGCCCCAGAGGGAGAGAATTACAAATGGATGAAAGGTGCTTCTGTGATGGAGAGGCTTTTGTTATAGGATATAAAAGTGAATCGCAGAAAAGAGTGCAAATAGAACCTGCAGCACACGGAAGGCAATGGGCCTGATTCACTGGCGCGTGCACTGCAGGGCGGTGCCTTTTTTGTTGTTGTTGATCCTCACCCGAGGATATTTTTCCATTGATTTTTAGGGAGAGTGGAAGCGGGAGGGAAAGGCAGAGAGAAACATCGATGTGAGAGAAACACATCGGTTGGTTGCCTCCTGCACGTGCCCTGTCTAGGGCCCGGCTGGGAAGGAGCCTGCAACCGAGGTACGTGCCTTGAGCAGAATCAAACTTGGGACACTCTATCCACTGAGCCAAACTGGCTGGGGCAGGCAATGCCACTTTTAACATTTCCTGCCTTGTCATCTTCCAGGCAGCCCCATAGCCTCCTGCCTGCTCGCCAGTCTTCAGGACCCTCTGGAGCGTCCAGTGAACGGGAGTGCCCTTGGCCGGGTCGTTGCTGCCTTTACTTCTCCATCTCCCGCAAGGTTTTCGGTTGTTCCCTGAAGTCAGATCCTGGCAGGCAGAGATGGGTGATGGCTGAGGCTTGCTTCTCAGTGTTCCCTCCACCGAGACCGCCGTGCCTGCTGTGCCAGGACGGTCTGTGTGCTCGGCTGAGGGCATGCGAGGAGCAGCCCTGGTGAGGGACAGTGAGGGATCGGGAGCTCACCTCCCAGGGAACCCAGACCTGCGGACACAGGTCAGGCTCCTTCAGGGCCTCTGGTCTCCGGCACAGCCGCTTTCCCTCCCAAACTCCCAGGCAGGCGTCATGAGTACTCCCTGAAGGGGAGCACCTAGGGGCCTGCACCCCAGATGCACACTCCATGTTGGGGTTCGGCGCACTGCCCTCTACTGCAGGCCTCGGTCTGCCTTGCTTGCTCCATCCCAGCCCTGCCCAGTGGGAAGCTCCCAGGATGCTCCCAGCAGCCCATTTCTGCCCTGAAACCCAGCTGTGCTTGGCCAAGGCCACTAGCCATTCAGGAAGTAAATCCTCCTTTTGTTTCTCCCAAGTCTTACCCCTTCCAGACTTCTCTGTCCTCGAAGAGGCTCCTAATAGTCTCCACCTGGTACAGATGCTCTTTGGCTTAATCACTGAGCCTCTTTGTTGTTGTTGTTGTTAATCCTCACCTGAGGATATTGTTTCCATTGATTTTTTAGAAAGAGTGGAGAGACGGGGGGAGACACAGAGAGAGAAACACTGATGTGGGAGAGACACAGTGATTGGTTGCCTCCTGCACGTACCCCCGACTAGGGCCTGGGATCAAACCTGCCCTTGACTGGGAATCGAACCTGTGAGCCTTCAGTGTGTGGGCTGACACTCCAGCCACTGAGCCAGACTGGCCAGGGCCTGAGCAGCTTTTCTCCTTTGTCCTCAGACCGTGGCTCTCCTGTCCTGCAGGTAAGCTTTGAATTTTATTCTAAGCTTTTTTCTCTCCGGACTGTTGTTGGCACAAACAAGCCAGGCCGCCCATCTCAGTGTGGGCATGGAGGAGACGATGGGTTCCCCCAGGACCATGAGGGATAGGTTTGGGGTGGAAGGCCCCAGGGAGTGAGGGGGACAGGAGGCTTGTCTTGTCCTCCTCATCCTGCAGCACTGCCCTCTTTCAGGTGCTCAGCCTCCCCTGCCCCACTGTCCTGGACTCGCCTTGCAGCCTGGCTGGGCCCAGAGCTTCTGGCTGGGCCCTACCTCCTCTGGGACCCACCTCTCCCTTCTGCTCAGGGGGTGCAGACCTCCCATGCCTGTCCCTCTACTGTTCCAACCAAATGACTCATGTGGGCCCGTCTTCTGACTGGAGGGTAAAAGGCCCGGCCCTCAGCATCTGGAGGATGTGCCACATTGCACAGGTGTGGGAGGGCTCCTAGGGGCTGAGGCTCGGCCCCTGCCTGGCCTACACCTGCTGGTTCCTCAAAATACACCACAGGGAGCCACACATGTTCACATCAAAAGTGCTGATAAGAGCCCTGGCTGGTTTGGCTCAGTGGATAGAGCGTTGGCCTGGGGACTGAAGGGTCCAGGTTTGATTCCGCCCGCTTGTGCAGGAGGCAACCGATCAGTGTGTTTCTCTCACATTGATGTTTCTCTCTGTTTTTCCCTCTCTTCTGCTCCCTCTAAATATCAATGGAAAAATATCCTCGAGTGAGGATTAACATCAACACAATAACAAAAAAAGTGCTGATAACAGTGGGATACCTTCACTCTCTTCAACCAGAACTCAGTGCTGATTTTCAAAGGTGAGGTCATCGTGTGCAGACTTCCTTCTGAGTTTAGACAGACAGAGCTGGCCCTCTGAGCCTGGCTGCCCGGGGACACAGACACCATCGGGCGTTCTAAGCCGAGGTCTCGGGGAGCGGGGTCCTCTCCCAACAGCCAGCAGCGGCCACTGCCCAGTGGCTCTGTGACAGGTTCTCCTTCCTCAGAGGTCTTGTCCTTGGCCCCTTGAATGCAATGAAGTCTTTGACGACACAGTAAAGCCCAGAAGCCCTAGAAAGCGCTTACATAAGCTAGAGGCTGCCACCTACGTGCTCCGAGCTACTGGAGGGCAGGATCCCTGGAGCCAGAGCTTCCTGGGGGACGTGAGCAGAGAGCAGAGCGAGCCTTCCCAGTGCTCAGGGGTGTGAGGAGAGGAGCCCCCCGCTGGTGCAGCCACAGGCCAGTGTTCTGCTCTGCGCAATCACATGCGGTTTTATTTAACACACCAGGGGCAGAAAACAAGGCACTAATCCTTTTTGTCTCTACCGCCATCCGCTGATTTGTTCTCACGCTTGCAATATTGATGCGACTGCTCGTTCTCCCACCTCCCTCTCTCCCTCCCGGTGGCAGGAGTCACAGGTCTGTGCCTGTCTTCCTTCAGATCTTCCCAGGGCACCTCCTGGCGAAGTTTTTCACAGCAGCGCGCCTGCTCTGCACGTTCTAGCCCCCTTGTTCTGCTCTACTTTTCTCCCAAGCCCTTCTCTCCTCCCATCGTATCTTCGCCTTTTCATCCATATTTAATCTGTCTGTCTCCCCTAGAATGTGACCTTTATAAGGATGGGGGTCTCTGTCTGCCTTGCTCCTGCTGTACCCTCCGTCTAGAACAGTGGTTCTCAACCTTCCTAATGCCACAACCCTTTAATACAGTTCCTCATGTTGTGGTGACCCCCAACCATAAAATTATTTTCGTTGCTACTTCATAACTGTAATTTTGCTACTGTTATGAATCATAATGTAAATATCTGATATGTAGGATGTATTTTCATTGTTACAAATTGAACATAATTAAAGCATAGTGATTAATCACAAAAACAATATGTAATTATAGATGTGTTTTCCTATGGTCTTAGGCGACCCCTGTGAAAGGGTCGTTCGACCCCCAAAGGGGTCGCGACCCACAGGTTGAGAACTTCTTTTCTAGAAGCTACTGTGGTAATATTCCCTGAATGGATGCTTGCACTTAACTAATGAGAAGCCCAGAGGCGGGAGGGCAGGGCTAGTGTGAGGCCCATCAAGGACACGGGCTCCTTCCTCCTCATGCTCACAGACAGCTTCTAGGCAGCGCATTTACATTCAGAGCAGAGAGAGGTGCAGGCCAAAGGCTCAGATTCATGGGCTCACTGTTGTCAGCCCCCATGACAACAGAAAAAGAAGAGCTTAAATCTGTCATGGTTACAACTGTGTCACAGGCCACCAGCCGCAAGGAATGCTGGGACACGGCCCCTGGAAACCCATCAGGCTCTGCTGGGGAGGAAGAGGCAGGGACCGAAGTGGGATGGCAGCCAGCAGGGCCCGAGCCGCCCTGGGCCTTCTCTTGCTTCCCCACAACCTGCTGTGGTCCTGGGTAAGGATCCCCTGACTTGCGAAAGGAGCCTGAGGGGGAAATTACCTCATCTGGGGGATGCGTGCCGCCCAGGCATTGCACACGCTGGGATACAATGGTGAGTAAGTATCCAGGTTACCTGGGAAGAACCCTTGTAAATCTTTTCAAACAGGCAAGAGAAGAAATGTTTCCCCTTTTCAAACCTGTTCAATTTTCAGTTTCTGTACAAATGTGGGCACGATACAGGTATACCTCATTTTATTGTGCTTCGCTTTATTGCACTTTGCAGATGTTGCCTTTTAACAAATTGAAGGCAAGGCCCTTCGCCAACTAAAAAGTTTCACCTGGCTTTCTTGTGGTGGTCGGGAAGGGGACCTGCACCACCTCTGAGCTAAGCCTGTAGGGTTGTCCCTCTTCTACCTCCTACTTGGTGAGTCCGTGGAAGTCTTGTCTTCTTTCATTGGTAAAAAGCCATGTGATATTTAATTTCTACACTTTGACTTAGTGTCTCATCTGTATGCACAGTCTGCCGCTTTCTCCAAAGAAGGGCTGAACAAGATTCTTTTTCTTCTTCTTTTTTATTGTGGGCTGAACAAGATTGATGGGAGGGAGAAGTCAGTCCTGAAGCCCATGATTTCGCGACAGGCTGAGCCCAGCGGGATTCTGGAGGAGACATTTCAGTAGCTCCCCTTTTCTTTCTTTCTGTTTGTTTGTTTGTTTATTCTGGACTGACCTCATTTTATTCTGTAAGAAAACCAGAAATGACCCACCGAAAAGAATCTACATGAAATGATATGTAGGAGTTTTTGAATAAAAATCAGCCACAAACAAGCAATAAATCCTCCATAGGCCAATAGGAAATGGATAGCAATAATGTGTTTCCTGCCTCACTCCCAAAGTACAGATATTTCTTACAATTCAGGGCAATTCATTGTGCTAGTCTGGCATTTATGAAATCCTCATCAGAGTATTAGAGTAGGAACCCATTTCCTAGGAAGTATTGTTGCATTAAACTGTAATTAGTGGCTTGTAAACAGCCGTCATTCATTTTTAATATTAAAGGCACGTGGACTGTCTGGGCAATTCCAGCAGGCCCGGCAGCTCACCTGGACACGGGGTACACCCGCTGCTGGGGCAGGGTGGCCCCAGGACAGCCCAGTCCCAGCACCCCACCCCAATGCCAGCCTCTGTTGCTTTATAGATTGCTGGTCCAGATGCTCAGCACGCCGGATTCCCCAAGCCGAACCGGGCGCCCACCTGGAAGCGGGGTAGGCGCCCCCAGGCCGGGCTCACCTTGACACGGTGTGAGACCTCGGGCTACAACACGGGACCCGGGCGCTGCTCCGACCCCTCGTGTCTTGTGTTGCAGCCGGAGGGACGCAGGTCCGCAGCAGAGCCTGCTCCTTCGCCCGGAATCGACGACCGCAGGGACAGCGCGACAGCCCGGCGGGGTACAAGGTGGGTGCAGTGCCCCAGGAGTGGCCGTGAGCAGCCCGCCACGTGGGCTTTTCTTGGGGCGCGATCAGTCTCGGTGCAGGGGTCCGCTGCACCCCTAGTTCGCTCTGAGGATGCTCTCTATTCCTCACCCCCTCTGCTCCCAGATCAGGAGACTGAGGCTCCACAGTGCGTCTTGAAATGCAGCAAGGAAGGCAGTTGCTCCCCAAACACTTCTCCCACCACTGGTGACTACAAGCATTGCACTTTTAGCCGCTGTCTATTACAGTGTATTTTCTGCAATCACTACAGGCATCAGCTGGGTTTCCTTGATCCAATTACTTTCCAATGTGACAGGAACTCAGAGGGAAACGAAATCAGATGTGAATTTCAACAGGGAAGCAGTTCCAAAGGAGGGCCTGACACTGGAGGTGGGAGGCCTCAGAGGCAAGCTGCCTCCCCGATTCCTCAGTCAGGCCACTGGGCGGAGCTGGGGACAGGGCACGCTGGGTGACCCCTGCCTTCACAGCTGGGATCTGTGGGTCACATTTGCAAAGCGTGTGCCACCTGGCAGTGTCCTTCTGCCAGGCCCAGGTCGACCTCCTGGCCCCACCACCACCCAGGGGTGACGCCACACCTGCCCTGGGTGGTTTTATTCCCTCACTTTTCACCTGCCTCACGGTGCTCACAGACCCTCCTCTCTTAGAAGGGATTTACTAGATTTTAAATGTAATCAGCTTAGCGTTTTCCCTCTTTTTGGATGATTTGGAGGGGAGTAGAATAAAATGAAATTTATACCAACCTTTAAACGGAAATAATGGGGAAGCAGGTATTGAAGGTTTTGAGATGGAGGGATGGTCTACAGCTGGTACTGGGATTCTTAGGCAATTGTCTTTATTTAGGAAAATACCTCCCTATGGAAAGTGAGATCCTGGAGGTGTGGTTTGGCAGATATCACGGAATCAATAGAAATATCTAGATTGGTTTTGATTAGAAATGAATACTAACTTTGGGGTAGGGGAGAACAGAAAGGAAAGGGAGAGAGAAGAGGGTGGGTCAAAATGGCAGGGGTTTTATCTGCAATTCGAAGTTGTTTGTGTTGCTGAAAAAGAACCATCCTGTCTACCCCAGCATTCGCTGAAGTCTGTCCTACCCACACAGGCCTGTGTGAACCGGGTTCTGTAGGCTTCTTGGTTTTGGAGGAACTTGGTGGCCTGATGATTCATAAACCAAACTAATTTAGGAGAAATCATGGTGGAGAGATGTGGGGTTAACTCAGCTGGGTCGACTCAGCTGGGCTGTAGTGCCAAATATTTGGTCAAACTATTCTGGATGTTTCTGTGTCTTTTTGGATGAGATTAACATTCACAAATAAGGAGGAAAGCTTGCAAAGAGGTTATCTCCAAGGACGTTCATCACAGCATTGTTTATAATACCAAAAGGGGGAAGCAACCCAAATGCCTATCAATAGATGACTGATTAAATAAATATCACGAGTTCTGTACAACAGAATGCTGTACAAACAACATCTTTATATTTAAGGGCATAGGAAATGTGTTCATCAGGTATTAACTGAGAAAGAGTTACTAAAGAGAGTATATAATATGATCCACTTTATATTAACAAAAATGTTAGATTGTATAGAAAAAGTCCTTATGTATGTGTGTGTATATATATATGTATCTATTTAATCTATGTAATATCTATATCTATCTACCTAATATATATGTATATATATTAGGTAACACTAGAATTAGGACAATGAATAATTTTTGTTTTATTTTTTGTACTTGCATTGAGCATCCTCAACATCATCCATCATGTTCAATGATTTACTAGTAGGACTCACAGGACTCAGAAAAGCTGTTATATTCACAGTTACAGTTTATTACAGCAAAAGGATACATATTAATATCAGCCAAGGGAAAGGGCACATAAGAGAGTCCAGGACAAACCAGGACAAGCTCCCATTCGTCCTTGCCGAGTGGAGTCACAGAGACAGAAGTTAATTCTTCCAGCAACATGTGTAACCACACACGTGAAGTGCTGCCAACCAGGGAAGCTCATAACTGGCGAGGCTCACTGAGCCTCGGTGTCCACAGGTCGGTCACGTAGGTATGTAGACCCCACAATCCAGAGTTCAAATGGATACAGTGTGGCCCGAAGCTTCAGGCATACTTACAAGCAGCGTTCCCCCTAAATCACGTTGTTAGCAGACTCTCTGGTGTCTATCAGGCGTACAAAGACACTCGGCAGGCAGGACACTCCAAAGGCCCAGAGGTCCTCTCCAAGGCTTGGGCCAAGGGCAAGTCCTGAAGATCTTGCAAAGGTGCAGGTTCAAGCAGCCCATGCCTACTGAGGTACCTCTTTACTGCACGATGCTTTTCTTATTTTCAATGCTTTGCAATAAGCACATGGTGCTCTTATTGTCACAAACAGTAGTGAAACGATTTCCATTTGCAGAAAGTGGAATGCATCAGCAATGTTTGTGTGTTCTCATCCTAACATCCTTAGACGGGGCATCAAAGCAGAATAACAACTTTCCCAGCTGCCAGAGGGGACAGACACCTCAGTAACTGTAGGTGAAATACATCCTTAAGAAGTAACTTCTTGCCAGGAATTCTCTGAACTTTATAAATAGTCTCATGGATTTGTATACCAGAGAAGGCCAGGCGCCGACTTTCTTACTTCATGTTGAAGAGGAAAATCTCAGTCCAATGATCTGACGGTCAGAGCAGCTGGATAAGAAGGCACCTGGGAGAAGTATTTGTCACCCCAGCCACTTGAGATTCAAATAATTGCAAATCATTTCGTTCTGGCGCCTGTGTTGAGAATTAAGGAGAGAGGATTTCAGAAGTCTGGCCTGCTCCGAGGCTGTTACGCTCTGCTGTTCAGTTGCAGACAGTTCCCATCCTAGATTCAAAGACCAGCCATAGGAAAGATACGTTGCTCTCTCCCCACTTCAGTCACTGCTGTGCTGCCTTTCTTGGCTAGCAAAAAGTAAAAGTAGGAACTGCTTGCTTTCTGTATGCCACGTCCTGTGCCAAATGCTCAGATTACACTCACTCTTCACAACAACTCTGTGGGCTGTAAAATATCATCCCCACTTTATAGATAAGGGACCCCAGGGTCAGTACAAGCCTCCGTGCAGTGACAATGGCATAAAATGAAAAAGGGGCCTCTCCGTGGTGACGTTTGAACGAACGCCAGTAAAGCCACACAGTTCAAAATCCTCACAGCCCGGCAGGGGTGGCGGCATCTGAAAGCCATCTTGACGCCCAACCATCACATGTTGCGACATCACAGGGGAGGCATAAATATATTAACATTTTAGGAGAAAAATCTTTCTCTCTCAATTAGAGCAAATGGCACAACCTGAAGAAAAATTCTTAAGAAAAGAGAGAGAAAATCACTGAGTATTCAGCCCAAAGTTGACAGTGCTCCCATAACATTTGGAATTTAGATTTGATTGCGAGTTAAGTTGCAAGGGGTGACAAATTCTGAACAAGTAGCTTGAAATGAAATAAACAGTTGTTTCATCCTACTCCTCAGCAGTTAATTATAGCAAGAACTCTGCTTCCTGGGAAGTATTGTTATAATAAATTATAATTAGTGGTTTGAAGCCGATCCTTTTTTCCTTTTAAAAAAAAAAAAAAGCTGTGAGTACCAGAGTAAAAAGCTTTGTTGGAGCTGTTCTGTTTGCATTAGAAAAGCGCTACAGTAGAAAATTGGTTATTCTTTTGGCGGCTGAGAAAAGCTGTCTGTCAGTCAAGACCGTGAGTCAAGAGCCCCGCATATTATTCAAACAGGAAAGAATGAACCCTGTAGGATGTTCAGGTGTGGAGAGGCCCTCTGAGCCTTGGAGAACGTTCTGCGTTGCTTAACGTCGGATGCTAATTGATGGATCTCTGCTGATTGCTGTTGGTGTTAAAGCTGCATTCAGATTAGGCTTTCTCTGCCTCGGAAAATGTGGCAATTAAAAAGCGCTTTAATAGAACCACAAACGGGCCCAGGAGCGGCACGGATGGCTCCGTGAGCTCATCCAAAATGACGGCAGATGTGGGCTGGTGAGGTGCTCCGGGTGTTAGACAAACAGCTCCATGCTCCGATTTTTAAGCAAAGGCGCAGCGCCTCGTTTGACAGCGGAGAGCTTCCCCCACTCCGCTCCTATTGCCTCCCAACCCTGCCTTTTCTCTCTCCGTTGCCTTTCTTTCTCCCTTTGCTCTGGCAGCTCCCTTCTATTGCTGTCAGGGCCCTGGGTTCTAGTTAAAGTGATGGAAACTGTGTGTGTCTGCCGTCTCTGCGAGAGCCTCACCACATCCAGTTATTTCTAGAATTGCTGGGGACAGGGGCAGAGCAGGGTGGGGAGGGCTGGACATGGCGAGGCTCTGTGCCCCCAGAGGCTGACTTCTGTGGGCTGCATCAGCTGGGGGTTCTTGCCCCTGGATTCTGATGGGAACCGCCCGTGGGAAGCACCAGCGATAGATCAGAGGGTGCTAAGGGGAAGAGGTGGGAACACCCCTTCCAGCCCTGCACCCAGCCCTGCACAGCCCTTATCGGCAGACCCTTTCCTGCAGCTCTCCTGGGTTCCAGCCACAGCTCCCTCCCTTCCCCTTCCAGGCTTAGGGTTTAATGACGTTTTCTATATCCCTCGGTGCTTCTCCCTGCTTCTCAGCACCCTTCACTGCACCCTCCCTCTGTAAACAGTCCCTTCTTTAAACTCGCTTCAGTGACCCTTTTGAGCGGCTGGGACCCTGACACATGCAGCAAAGTAGGTCCTTTCTGCAGAGGGGATGCAGGCGAGCATCAGGTCGCGTGATGGTGTGGGAGAGCCGCGTGTCCCCTGGGCGGTCAGGGAGCTGTCCTCTTCCTTGCCCTGCTTAGGTTCCAGCGAACCTGTCACCCAGTCGCATTCCCAGGTGCCCAGTCTATTAGGCTGTGGGGTCACGATCTTGGAAAAGTCGGAAGGAACCAACAGTTGGGTAAAAGGCTCCTGCTGCAGCCGTTCCTTTATGCTTTCCTGCCAGGGCGCTCACCAGACCTCGGTTCTCCTGCTTCCTCTTCAGTCCTTATCTCTGTTCCATTCTATCACCATCAAAATGGCTCTGCTGCGATTGCTTTCTTAAAGTCACCAAGTCCCGGGTCCCAGATTCAGGTAAAATGGGCTCCTCAAAGCTCATCTTCTCTCCCCCTCCTGGTGCTCTGGATAATGTATCCTGCACCCTGGCCTGCTATCTGTGTGTGTGTGCACATAAGTGTGTGCATGCCTCTTGTCTATGTAAAGATGTGTATCATACATGGTCTCTGCGCTGTTTTTACTTCCTCTGGGGCACAGGAAGGGCCCAGCACAGGTCCTCAAACACAGTAAGAGCCTCACTCAGTGTCAGCTGAGCTCTGTGTTAGGCAAAATAATGGGCCCCCAAAGATATACACATTCTAATCCCAGGTACCTGTGAATATGTTATGTTATACGGCAAAGGAGAGCTAAGGTTGATGGAATTAAGGTGGCAAATTAACTGACCTTCACATCGGGAGAGTGTTGTGAATTATCCTAGCGGGCCCCGGGTAATCACAGGGGTCCTTCAGAGTGGAAGAGAAGGTCAGAGCGATGTCATATAAGAAGGCATCAACTTCTCTTGCTGACTTTGAAGATGGGGAAGGTGGGATACAAGCCAA